CCCCCAACCCTCCCAACCCCTCCCTTTCTCTTTGCCGCCTCACACTGGGCTTCCCCGCCTCCATACGTCATCCAGGACAAATGAGCCGAGGGGCGGGGGTGCTCGGCGGGGGCAGAACCGTGAACAGCGCCGGGGGCACCACGCCCCCGCGCCCCCCCTGGGGCAGAGCTCGGGGCCGCGTCGGCGCGCGTTAGGCACCGTCATCCCGGCCATGAGCCAGGTGCTCCGGGGTGCTTCGGGGGCGGGTGGTGCAGTCACGGAAACGACGAGACCTCTGTCAGGGGGGAGTTCGCGGGGCCGAGGTTTGTGGGGGCCTTACGGGTTACTATTGTCGAGGCAAGGCCCACAGCTGGTGACGATTATTGTCACCAAGTTGTGCAAAACAGTGTAGCCGCACGATGGCAGCTGCTGCTTGTTATGCATTGCCTGCAGTGCGGCGGCGGTGGGGGCGGCGGCGGGACTGGAGGGCCGGGCAACAGAGCAGCAGAGCAGTAGCGTCGATATTCAATAAGGTGCGCGGTACAAACCGACACCGCCTCCTGCGCCGCGCCCCTGCTTCGGCTCGGAGCTTCGCGGGCGGTATCGACATGTTTCGTGGGTCCTTCCCCCGAGCCGGCGCGTGGCGAGGGCCTAAACACACGCACTGCAAAAGTAACTGCTCGGCGTGTCTGACAACTCGCAGCGGCGCTCGTATAGGGCAGGTACGAGGGCAGGTCGTAGGACAGCGCGGAGCCGCGCGATAGCGTGTGGGAGGCGCAGAGAGGACCACCAGCAGCACCGCGGCTCCTGAACCTCGGCTGCGTGAAATATTCAGCGGGAAATCAGACTCCTGCCGCCGGGGAGCAGTTGCACCGGCGGCAGCGGCGGCCACCCGGGAGCGCCGTACGAGCTCGGGGTAGGCAACCCGGTGCGCTCCCCGACTCGGCGGGTCGGCCTACCGCGCCGGGCGGCCCGCTGGGTCTGCTGGGGCTGAGGACTGGGAGGAGGCGGCCGGTATGGGGACACACAAAGTTAGAGAGTAAAGGAAGCAGAGGGTAACAGAGAGGGAGAGAGAGAGAGAGAGAGAGAGAGAGAGAGAGAGAGAGAGAGATGTGGACGAGGAAGGGCATTTAAGTGAAGCTTTAAAGATTCATGGCAGCGAAGCAACGTGAGAGCCATCGCCCACAGCCCGCCCCTGCTCCTCGCTATTCACCGTGGGTCGCCGCGTGTCGCGGGAGAGAGCGATTTCCGGGACGGTAAGCAGCGCGCTAATGAGAGCAAGTGGCGGACCGGGCGACCTTTCGCGACCTCTGAACCCTCCCGCAATGGCGGTGAGGGGGGAAAGGGTGGAGGGGGACGCGCAAGTGAGGAGGAGGTCACGCCTCCGCGCACCGCAGCGGCGTGATCGCGGCGGGGGGTTCAAGTGGTGTCGTCGTGTAGTTGTGAATAATTTGCACGTGTGTCGCATAGGCTGAGGGAACGACTTTGTGACGTCAGGGGCGGGGCGGTGACGGCCTGCTCCGGGGCGGGGCGGGGCGAGTCGGGGCGGACGGCACAAAGGGGCTCTGATTATAAACTGGGAGGTAGTGGGGGCCCGGGCGGCAAGGGCAAGGACAGAGCGGCACAACATGTGGCGAGGGCGTGGCGCCGGGCGTGGCGGGGCGGGGCAGGGCGGGGCGGGGCGCGTGTGGCCAAACGAGTACGGCGAATTAATTGCCAAGGTCGGCCGGGCGGACCTCCATCTCTCATTGCGCGATCGCCAATCTGATATGCGAGAGCGCGTCCCAGCGTGTTTTCATAATTAATGCACCCACTTTCGCAGTCCATCACACCCCCCCCCC